TTCAACATGCTAGATTGTGAGCGAACAATGAAAAGTGGTCACGGAAACTACCTATTGTAAACAATTGTATGTACCCGAAAGCCGATGACTATTATTCCCGAATACTCAAAATTAAATAGATGCATATAGGTATTCTGAATCTGATCTGAGAGATGTAATGTGTGATATTTAACTGGCGACGGGCTTATTTTAAAACGCAACAGAACAGGGATGTGCAAACCAGGCCCGCGGGCCACCCCCGGCTCTCGAATTACTGAAATCCAGCTCGCGACCATTAAACAAAAACGAAAGGTACTCACGAAATAGTACAATTTTTCACATATTCCGACAAGGACCAGCCTGCTGCCGAACCAGGTTCAAACCTAGTTATTTCGTAGCAAATGCTCCTTGCATTCGGTAATATATTAGTAGAATGTAGGTCTTATAAGTACTGTCGCGTGAGGCGTCCTGTCTGGAATCGTGATAGTCAAGGAACTTGTGCAATTGCCGATCAAAACAACTTAAACGTGCTTCAGAAGGCACATATAGTTATTGATCCGGGCTGCATCTGCAGCTGCTAGCACCCACCAATACGCACTGGGACCGCGTAGTTGGTCGTTGTCTGTTAGTAGGTGTTGTGCCCTAGGTAGCAGGTACAACTGAATGTAACATTAGCCTAAAACTAGTTACATTAAATTAAAAGGCTGATGTGGCCCACGTACAAAATTTTGACCACTCCGTAATCGCATCGTCAAAATTTCTATGAAAACTAAGCAACGGATATCGGATGTAAGAACAAACTAAGTCTTTCCGTATAAAATTTGACGTTTACGATACTTTACGGAGCTGAAAAAAACTCGTGCTTGGGCAGAGGTCCAAGCTGCTGATGATAAGGAAAAAAATCACTAGTAATAAAAAGAAAAAAGCAGAAAATCTTTAATGCGTAGGTATCATTCAATAAGTAGGTATTAAAAGTCTAGTTTCAAAAGGCTGTTTTGTTATATAGTAACTGACGTACCAACGTACGAACACAATTGAACACATTAAAATACAACATAAACGTGACTTCTTTGACTTAAAATATATTTTTGGTCGAATATAATCCAATAATATGCCTAGCAATATAATCCAATAATATGCCTAACATAATTTTTGGCTTTATTGCTATCTCTGTGACCTTCGACAGCCAGTAATTGAAGTGCGCTTTGTTCTTACAATGAACCTACAATAAAAATGTGTTATTTATGACAGATTCTTTCTTGTTCATTTACTACTCAGCGGCAAAGCAGAGATTTTATGAATTAGAATATTGATATTTTGTTTTGTATAAAATTAATAAGTTAAGATTTAATCATCTATCTAACTAATTAAAAGGTGTTGCACATCTTGTACTTTTTCAAAGAAATAGGACCTTAGTTGAAAATTTAAAAATACTAAATTAAACTAGTTTTAACGGGTTAATGCACGAAACTTTATTTATTTATTAGCGTTTCCCTTCCAGGTCTGCCTCGTCAGAATGATTATTTATTTAATTTTGTCGAGCTACCTTCGAAAGACTATCTAAATAAAAAAACGTCAATAAATAAATAAAGTTTCGTGCACTATTTAATGAGTGATGTGCGTGAAAACCTAAGAATCAAATACCTATTTAAAAATACTTTTTGCTGTTGTTTAAAGCAAGCTCCACGCAAGGGGCAAGGAAGTTCGAAAGTTTTTCCTTATTGATAGACAGTTTTAAATTAATAATGCCACACTGTGTCGATATAGTCGGTTCTCGATATTATGGTCCTAGCCAATCGGTCGCCTTCCAATACAAATTAGGAGCTTCAAACAAATGATGATATCATCAACATATTTATATTGCATGATCGAAAATTATCTCCATAATTCTTAATAACAAATGGCTAAGGAAAACAAATATGCAGGTTTTATCCTTGCTTACCCAATAGCCACTGTTCCTGTCTCAATATTATTGAATTTAAACATATTTTACTGCATACCTATTTCTATTTTGATATTATTTTACCATGGAGAAAAAGACCCAATATAATTAGAATATAATCCAATATTATTTCCATTCTTGTTGCTTTCTTCATGTTTTTCTAATTCAATAGCACTTCCAACACTTCACGTAGCTAATTTACAAAAGGGAAATCCCGAAAAAAGATCAATGACATCTCATCTAACGAACATTTGGTGCGTTTATGGACGCTTAGTTATTTCTGTATCAGCATAAACGAGGTCATCAGTATGCAACAGTAAGTAAGCAACGCAGGTTGCGCTTGCGACATCGCAACACGTGTGCGCATAATTATAAATAAAAAAAAAACGATATGGTTGCCGTGATAGTTCATATCAGATTAGAAGATATTTTAGGGATACATTGGTTTCGTGCCAATACATGTACCCTTGCCCCCTTATTAATATTCTCGGAATAAACTTTGACTAGTTACACCATGTTTTGTTCCTATCGAGCAAATGCCATTTGTCATTCAAGAACAGAGACAAAACATGGAGTAACAAATCCAAGCCTATTCTTCGTTAATTAATAAAGGGGTAAAAGTATACGTAGGTATACTAGCGATTCAGAAAATGCAAGCTTCAAAAGTTATAAAATACATAACATTGGTATTTCGACTTCAAAAGGAAGCGGTACACAATCGTTTTTTTTAGCTCTGTTAGATCTTTCCGATTGAATGGTAGAGAATGACATATTGGAATAAAGTCTGCCATTTGCAGTGTAAGGGCAAAAAAGATTAAATAATAATCCCTCAGTTTAAACACCTTCAAATTATTGGTTTTTTCGCGCATATCGACAGCGGCAATGACGCGAGTGATATTTTTTTTATCGTAAAGGTATTTCTAACGTAAGTGATACAAAAAAGGCCTACCTAATTTCAAACACTCATATAATTATTCGAAGAAGGTGATAAATTAAAGCAAGGCATTATTCTTTGGTTCATAAATTTTAAACAATTAAGAAAACATATTACAATCTATTATCATAAATCACTTAAAAAGAGCTAATTCTGGAACCTCAGACTTAGAACTTTTGAAAACATAGTAACTTAACAAAGTCTATGTACTTAAATTATAGGAATATTGTTATTAGAGTATAAATTATATCAAAATATGTATTTCTGAGCCTTTAATTAAGTGTTTCCATGGGATCCTTGAACAACATTTACTAATTATTTTGCTTAAATTGCTAGTCAGATTTGAAGTCGCATATTAACAAGAAATAAAGAATAAAATAAAATAAAAATTAGCAAATTAACATATCTTCTCAAAAATATTATTAAATATTGAAAAATGAATATATTTTGATAGGCCTTAAACAAAGTAACTAAATAAGGCCTTAGAACATAATAAGTGGCATAATTTATTTGTTTCTAAGGTTTTCACTCGCATCACTCATTAAATAAAATGCATATAATCCGTACAAAAACAGGTTATATGTACTGAATTTATTTATCTGATGTTTCGCAGCCTTTTCAGGACTGCGTCTTCAGTTTTTTTTTTTAATTACTTTGTCAAGCTACCTTCGAGAGACTTTAATGAGTGTTTAGATATTTCATTGGAAGATATTTGTTTCTTAGGTTTTCACGCACATCACTCATTAAATAAAACTAGTTTTTACGGGTTAATGCACGAAACTTTATTTATTTATTGACGTTTCGCAGCCTTTTCAGGTCTGCATCGTCAGAATAATGATTTTATTTAAAATTGTCGAGCTACCTTCGAAAGAATTATATTGTGCGTTCGGTTATTTCATTGGAAGATTTTTAAAATTTTATTGTCTATGTATGAATTTATTATTTAATTTACTTAATAAAGTATTTTATTTAAAATTCTTGTTTGTAATTTTGAGTTTATTTATTTGACCCTAACTACCGTAAGCTACCACCGGTTCCAAAATTGGGAGACCTTCCTGAGAAGAACCGGCGAAACAAACTCAAGAGAGGCTTTCTATCTCCTTCTTATGTTAAATTATGCAAACAAAAAGAACTAATAGTATCTGATGGTCTTGCAGTGTGTGCTCGGGGTTGGGCTTTTATCTCCTGTATAATAGGTTCCCAAGCTGGTGGTATATACCAACCATCTTCCATATTGAAATTTGGATATTTCTTAATCTCAATAGCTTCGCGTATCATTCTAGGAATAAATTGTTGTTCAGTTGTGAGGATCAGAATCAATGAAAGCGATCTGATACTGTGAGTATTGTGTGTCGGAAATAGGTCCGAGTGAATAGTGAGAATGTGACAATAAATGGTAGGGGTATCAAGTGCAATAAAAGACGACGTCAGAGGGTAGACTGATATGTCTGCCAATAACATCTAACCGCAATTACTTCAGTTACTCCGCGATCATGGCGCTTGCAACAGTGCCGAAATATCGGAGACTCATAAAAAACAAGGTAGATGGTAACAATCCCGTTAGTAGCTATATATTTTTTTTTAATAGAGATAACATGTAGAAATATACATAAATCCTATTTGTATCATAAATGTGAAAATTTGTATGTTTGTTACTCAATTATGTAAAAACTACTGAACGGATTTGTTTAAAACTTGGCACACACATAGTTTATTACCTGGATTAAGACAGAGAATACTTAACATGGACAAAGTTGTGGCTGGCCGCTAGTAATGTAATAAGACAGAATATAAATTAGTTCTAACAAGACTAAAATATTATCTTTAGTCTGTAATTTTTTTAAATAGATTTGTAGTAATAGTGGGGTAAAAAAATTATTTACTAGAACTGCACTACAACAATAAACTGCAAGTTTATTCTTCCCAGTATCTTGTAAATTAGTGACCCCCATCATTACAACATCATTAAATATAAAGTTGTTTTGTTTGTGTACCTACATAATTATAAGAGAAAATAAAAGAATTCCATATTAAATAGTAAAATCTTTAATTTTTAACTTACTGTGAAAAGTATCAGATAAATCAAAAGTAGCCAGTAAAAGCTTTAATTATACTGTAGTTCAGAGTACTTAAATAAATAATTACCAAGTTTTTCTGATGGTCAGCAGCCTTCTTGGTGGCCTTCGTCCACTCACATCGGTGATTACAGAAAAACGATCACTAAAGCTCCTTTTCACTTCCTGTGTGTTTGACAGCTCCCCAGAACTAAGTCTTAGCGATTTGCCAGTAACTAATGCTTCACACTTCTTTGGCCTTAATTCAACTGATTGCTCATCTGCCACGGGCAGCGACACTCTTTTGCCGTTCTGTCTTTTCTTAGACAATCTCAGATTAGGTTCTTTTTCACATTCATCAACTCTGTTCTTATACTGTTCGCCATCTCCGAAACCTTGGACAAAACAGAGCATAATGTCATCTGGATAGGATTCCTTCATTTAGATTAGAAGGTCATTTTTCGATAAGTTCTCAATTCGATAATCTCGATTAGAGGTCAATGGTAATTGCGAGATTGCAATCTGGCAGTATGATTGCTTTCATTTTCGCTCTCTATTTATTTACCAACCCAGCTAGTGGAAATAAAAACTTGACCACACATAAATTTAACGGCACTAAATAACTTCACTTTATCACAGAGGTTCACATAGTCAATTTCGGGTTGGTTATTAATTAAAACTGTTCGCACATTTTTGCCAATTTTTACTACTTCGTCCCAAACAAACTGAAACGTCGAATTGACGTTTGAAGTACGTTCAGTAACTTATGTTGATAAATTGATCCCGCGTTCAAAAACACATGTACGGAGCGAGCTCGCAGTTTGAGAACTGAGTGACCGACCGAACCGAATTGAGCAACCGATCTGCCCCGCGCCCGCTGCCCGGAGCCAAATCAACAAACGCGAGGTGAATGAGAATGAACAAGTTAGAATGAATCGGTTAACTATTTACTTAATTATGGTATCACAATTGGTATTTCATTGTATGTGCCTTCTATAGAATACTTTTGTTAATGTCGCAAAATATATTGCACAAAGTTAGTAAGAAATAATGTCACATCCAATGGGAGCTAATGTAATGGAGCTCAGGCTATAGGACAAAAGGTCTGTAATCTGAATAAATGGAGCTATATTATCAACTTTTCCTATACCTTTATCGAAGCATGTGCCGAATCTATAGAAAAGCTCTCTTTACAAACACATTTAGATAGGTACAATAGGAATCTTTAAATTCGATGTCAAACACGAAGCAAACTTCGCCAAAGATTAGGATATGACTGACAAAACACTGATTTCAAGATCCCAAACTTAGGAAGTCCGAAGCCATCCTCATCATTATTAGCATATTAGTAGTAGGGAGTTAAGAATCGACGGATAATCTCGTTGCAGGCTCCCGGTGGCGACAGGTGTCAAACCTTTTCCAGAAATTAATTTAAAAAGGTATAACGTAGCCTGATTGCTGATCATGCTACGATATCTGCGGCTAAGACACCATGTCTAACCTTATTAATGGATGCACTTGCTCTTGATTAAAGAAAATGACTTGCCCTTAAAATCAATGTCAATTTTATTTGTAATATTTCACTGACGGTCTCTAGTTGTGCCTAAGTAAGTCCCAAAAATCGATAAAAGTGCCATAAAAAGCGGGATCACCTAGGAAACCAGGAATCAAAACTTTGTACCCTATGCACCGTAATGAAACAGAATTGGTTGCGGGCTGCAAGCCCCGTAATGATGATATTTCATAAGACTTCGGTGGTAAAATTCATTTATTGTCCGTGCTACTACTAGTAGTAAGTACTTTTTTAGACAGATAGTATTCCATGGTTTGTACCTGACATTAATAGATACCACAGATATTATTCCTAGATATACTGATCTGAATATTGTTAAATCGGAAAATGTATCACGAGCCTTATAAGCATTGGAGATAAATTCAGTTGCTAAATCAATGCTTCAAAATCCAAAGTTTTCCGGTCCTCTCCCTATTTTATATCTCTCTTATTATATCTCCCTATTCCATTCGTAGGGAAGGCCTGTGCCCCAGCAGTGGGGACATTAATAGGCTGATGATGATGATGACCAAATACAGTTATAGGTACGTCGAAATATATAAAACACAATGGAAAATTTTCCTATTGTCCACACAAAGCATGTCGCTAATTCTTTAACGGATTGCCAAATTTATTGAAACAAGTGGGTTTCTCAAGGCTAGTACATAATTCAGCGTTTATTGCCTCATTTTAACTAACAATGGTAATGTGATGGTAAAATCTCCTTCTTCTTTTGGCTGGGACATGCTATTAAAAGAACGGCCAAGTGAAAATCGAACTTGTAAGTTCTTTTCCATCTTCTTCTTTTGGCTGGGACATGCTATTAAAAGAACGGCCAAGTGAAAATCGAACTTGTAAGTTCTTTACCATCGTACAAGATTAATTCGAACAAAACAAAATGAAAAAATCACATTTGGGGTATTCCGAACCGACCACTTGAGTTGTCCACTTGGTTGATCAGTTCAGTTGGGAATACCCTGAGATTGTACTGTAATCTAGGTATTATTATCGATTCTGATATGATTCTCTAAACTTAAAACTAAATTTAACATCAGTCTTCCTTTTCATTCTGTAAAGAGAATGACAATGACACACTGTTGCCAAATTTAGGTTTAGAGAATCATGTCAGAATCGATACCATTGTGTATTTAAGCATACTGTAACGATGATCTAAATTTTTATCGGTTTCGTTATATATAATTTCTATAAAACAGACTTATTTTAGCCGTCGTAGGTATATTCGTCGTAAGGATAAAATTATGTGTTGATGATTGGCAATATTTTCCTCTTCTTACTTATAAGTATGAATGAATTCGCTTATTTTCCTGACTTACACCTAAAGAGGTAAACCATGGTACAAATATTATTTTGGTTTATGAGTGACAAACGGACGATAAACGGATGGTCAGACAGACGGACAGCGGAAGCTCAGATAGAAATAGGGTTTACCCTTTGAATGCGAAACTCTTTAAAGTACCTAAGTTCCTATGATCAGGAACTGCGCTCCATGAACCAGTTACCACACAGAAATATTATTTCTGTGAATTACCCACTTACTCTGAGTAGATATTGTATGGCATACCTTTATATAGCTACCTACAATTTATTATAAACAGGAAATATCTTATTTAACGTAAATTTGTAATTCAACACAGTACACGAGTCATTATAACTCCCCTATAAATATATACATATTTACCTCAATACTTAACTGCGTCGACGGGCAGCGGTGTTGCACTATGCTTTATTTATTACTCTACTAGCTCACCTGGCGAACTTCCTACCGCTTACAATAATTTGGAGGAAATGAAAGCTATAAAACAGGAACACAGCTTTTATCATAGTTAGCAATGGTTTGAAAGAATCTTCCTTAAAGATTGATCGTACAGCAATGTCACCCTCATATTTACTGCCAGGTGAAAATTCATTACATGGCGCTACAAATTGATTAATAGAGGCAAAACGCCTTCTATGCTTTTCACCTGCGTATCGCGATAGAAGGCGCTTTGATCGATCCACTCTCTTTAATTGTAAAGATTGATTTAGGGCATGTCCTGTATATCGACGATAAGCACTGAGCTTCAGGTGTTGTTTTATAATACGCGACAGAGTCCTAGCGGGAATCTTCATTTCTCGCGATAAGATGTTTTGTTTCCTAATGGGGTTTCGATGAATTCTGGCTTTAACAGCATTAACAGCCTTTGTAGTACTAACAGCACGCGGCCGCCCCATCTTTTCTGGTCTTCGACAGACGAAGTGTTGTTGTATCTGTTGATAGTACGATATACTAACATACAGCTGATATCAAGTTTTTGAAGTGTCTGGAATATGACCGACTCCGTACCCACTTTGTGCAAGGCGATAACTGCAATCCTATTTTCTTTAACACCATATTCCATTATGTAATTTGATAATAAACACGGAAAAATATGTGCATTTGCGCAAAATCGAAAGAAGTTTTTAAATTAATATAGGGGAAACCACCCAATCATTGGCACTCGTCCTATTATTGGCACTTTGAGTTTAATTCGAAAAAAACAAGGAGACAATAGATTATTCAAGGTCGTTACATATTAAAAAGAAAAACCTAGTATGGTTACGAAATTTGAAAATTGGCAGCATTATTCCTACAATCTATTTTTTCCTGTTTTTTTTTCGAACTAAACTCAAAAGTGCCAATACTAGGAAGAGTGCCAATGATTGGGCAGTTTCCCCTACGTGTTCCAAATTCAAAATAGTTAAAAAGTTGAAAAAAAGAAAACTTTTTTATATAAACAGTTTTTATGGCCAGACTAGTTATATATTTATCTTACCTACAAGTTTAGGGTATTATTCAAACAAATCCCTTATATACTATTACAATCATCTCAACAACATGACATGGCAATAAATTGGTCCCATTGTTGACTACGGAATCCTAAACGCAAAAATCTGTCTGTCGGACATTCTATTAAAGTACTTAGCAAGAACTGATTCCTCTAGCTAGAGGAAATCTAGTAGGCATATTTCGTAGAATCTCTATCGTACTCGCATTAATTCTTCATGTAGAAAGCCAGATCAACATTAATTACCATGAAATTTTTACCTGTTTACATTATGAATATCCATAAAACAAACGCTTAAGAGAAGATATTTGATAAATATTAATCTTGAACTATTATTGATCATTATAGTGCTAACGTGTTTTCTCCGTAAAATTCCATACATCAACGATAACCTATGACTTTTTTTCTTAGAAGTTTTAAAATGTGTGCAGCCTAGAATTTATCCTACTTCCTACTAAGTTTGCTCACTCACCGAAACATGGCCACCACAACTTGGTTACTTTTGCTTCAGTTTGCATACAATATTTTTTTAGCATTTTATTTAATGTAGATCTAACCCATATTCACTTTTTATTGGTGTTTAACAATTTTCAAAGTGTCCAAGAAATATTATCATTAAAAAGAAAATTTTTATGAAAAATTACACGGCAACGATCTCACGACGATGACACGATGCGTTCTCATCGTGCGATAAATTCAAAGATGAAAATTTCTTTAGAAGTGTCCATAAACAACTCGTTAGTTGTTCACGAGCACTAGTATATAATTTTCATCGCACGAAGAGATCCCATCGTGCCATCGTACGATCAAATTAGGATTACACAGCAACTTTTACTTCATATATCCAAATAGTGCACACTGAAAATTCTTTTTTTATACGTTAGCATCGGTTGTTTTCGCCATTTGCCCCCTAATTTGCCCCGCCATTTGCCCCGATATGGCATACTTCGGATGATGTTTCTAACATCAATTTGCGAGAAGCTCTCCCAGCCGTTAAAACTGCATTTCGAAGGTTAGAAGAGGATTAATTTTTTTACTAATTAGTCCACGAAAAGTATAAAGATTTTTTTTAAATTTCCGAGATAAAGTTAATAGCTCGCTGAGTCAAGTGTCCTATGGTTATTATTATTATTATAACGAACGAGTACTTAAATAAAGTTTGTTAGAAGTTATTACTAACATACACAAAACTTGTCGTAATTACATATCTTGTATTAAGCATTTTGATGAAAGTGCAAACAGTTTGTTTGATGGTACCAGGTGGAGGTATTGTTCTAGATATTTGTTTACTTAGGTATTTAGTATGCTTTTTGTTGTATTGACCATATATCTACATTTTTAAAAATCTACATATTATTTAGAAATAAATGCGTATTTCCCTAAGTCACGCCATAACTTGTGAACGACTTTGTCGATTTCATCAATCGTGGTTTTAAGTTTTTTAAATAATTTGTAAAAACAAGTTATTCATAAAAAATGGGAATGGTGCTAATGTTGCTGTTGAAA